TCCCAATTAAAGCAATTTATCCACCCTTTACAGGACCAGAGGGGTATAGCAATAGAAAGAACAGGGGACCCCCCGTTGGGAGTCTGTACAGAAGCAAGAGAGCTAATTAAGGGTGGAGTAGAATCCAATACACATCTTGCAGAGAGTTTGGTGATGCAGGCGCGAGGATTACGAGCGATGGAAGATCGGAGTGAATGGCAGAAAGGAGGCTTTCAACATGCCTTGGGGCATCCCCTGAGAGGGGCAACGTCCTCCAACAGAAGAATGGAGACAGGAACGGGCGTGCTAGAGCCTTCCTGGACAAACATTCAGACCCGTTTGACGGACCATCTTGGAAGCACTCACACACGCGCAGGAGCAATGGGGCGAGAAAGCAAGAGGGTTCTATTGGATACACATCCTGCTAACAGCCTGCTAGGGACGGAACGGTTATGCCTTGGGGTAGAGATGAGGAGAGGGAATAAACGAAAGTGTGTAGCACAAGGGGGTGGTTGGAGACACACGAGTGAATCAATGGTTGGGGAAAAGGAGGGGGGAGCAACATCCCTAAAAATCATTGAGACTACAGCAGATAGCTGTGAGCAGATGAGGGAAACGGTCAAAAGGAAGGGGGAGGAGGGAACAACGAATCTGGGTAATTGGATACATATGAAGAAAGCAATGGGCAAAAAGAAGAAGAAAGGGGGAGCAGCAGCCCTAGAAGTTAGTGGGGCAATAACAGACAGCAGGGGGTGCACAAGGGAGGGGATTGGAGAAAAGAAAGTGGATAAGGGAACTGCGGCTTTAAAAACCATCAAGGGAACAGTGATTACGTGCCTTCCAAGAATGAAACAATTAGAGATATCAGATGGACCGATGACTAGGTCCAGGAGCTGTGAGCAAAATTGGCCGGCATTACATAAAGGGAACTCCCATTGACTTCTTTTTATGCTCTGATGATGTTGGCAGTGCTGGCCGACGAAAGCTCAGCATTTTATTAAACAAATTCTAGTTTGATCTTATTTGATATTTGACCACAGCTGCATCATTAGCCACTTTAAACCCCTCCAATCCAAACATGAAGCAAACTGACACCCACCATGAAGATGAGGCACGACCACGAACGTGAAGCCAAACAACAGCATTGCAGCTCACCATCTCAAATCCCCCCGCAACTCAGACTAACCTGAGCACAACAAAGCCCCCACCCAAACAGAACACTCCCCCATCCAATCAGAGCCCCCAACCAATCAGAACACACCTCCACCCAATCAGAACATAGCCAAGCTCCCACCCAATCAGTTCATACCCCCACTGGCAGTTAAAAGGAAGAAACAGCTACGATCACACATTGCTCCTAGAAGCACGAAGCCGAAAACACCAGCCTGAAGATGACGAATGGGACTTCGTCGAAACGTCGCCAAGACACTTCCAATTTTACACGGGAGAAAACCCGAATAACCAAAGACCTACAGACATATATATGGGAAGGATGAAACCTGCAAGTATCTGGGCATTTTATAGTTGAATAATATCAAGCATAAGCGAGTAAAAAATGTAAATAGTGAAGAATATATACAAAGAGTGAGACAATTGCTAAAGACAAAATTGAATGGTGAAAACACCATCAAAACCATCAATACTTGGGCCACAGTGTGATATGATATGCTACTCGAATTATTAATTGTACACCAATTGAACTGAGTGGGACCAAAATAACAAGAAAACTGATGAATATTCACTATAAATTACATCCTTGTAGTGATATGGATAGATTGTACCTGCCTCACAAAAATAGAGGCAGAGGTTTACTTCAAGTCAAATTGTCATAGAAGAAAAAGCATTCATTGAATGATTATGTAAAAGACAGCCAAGAAAATATATTGACGCAAATTAAAGATTGGAACTTATTGAATGTAAAGGAAACAAAACATGAATGTTGAAAGAACGTAATAAAAACAAACAATGCTGGTAAGGAATAGCTATTGCAGAATTAATTTATACAAAAGCTTGTGCGGACGGTGGATAAAGATAAAGATAAAACTTGGCTTACAATTAGAACATTTATAAAAGAGACTCAACTGTTGAATTTGACAGCTCAAATGAACTAATGCAAGCTAGGCCACAAATGAAAAATCATATGATTCAAAGTGGAGATTATGCAAAGAAACAGAAGACCTTATACTTGTTTTGCATAAGAAGATTGCATAAATTGATTATAAACAATGATATAACATAGTCACCAAAATGATTCATTAGAATATCTAAAAATTATCATGTGCCAGTAATGAAAAATTGGTGGGATCATATAGTTGAAAAAATAGTCAAAGATGAACAGGTTAAAATATAGTGGAATTTCTGAATACAAACTGGTAAAGTCTTGGCACTTAATACACCAGATTTAACTGGTTGAAGAGAAGAAAGTGTGGATAATTGATGTGGCAATACTAGGAGATGGTAAAATATTTCATCTTTCTCATCTCATCTTTCCTACTACCTTCTATTAGTATCTTATGAATTATCACTTGTTTGTATCTTATGATTTATGACTTATCTCTTTGTTGTTTGTATGTACACTGAGAGCTTATGCACTGGAGACAAATTCCTTGTGTGGCCAATCACACTTTATTGGTGAATAAAAAATATTCCAATAGAAAATAAAGAATTAGGCAAGAACACAAAGTATTAAGAACTAAAAATTGAAATGGAAAAATTATGGCATAAACTAGCTATGATGGTCCCAGTGGCTATCGGCACACTGGGTGTTATATCAAAAATCTGGAATAGCCTTTAGAAAATATACACATTCTGTCAATTGTAAAAGGCTGCATTGCTTGAGATGCAGGCACAGTATACTATGCCGATGTATAATGCACCCTAGGTTTTGGGGACGAACTCGATGCATATGACGGCCAACACCAGCAGTTCCAGAATTGCCAAAATGGAAGCTGTGAGTTCATATTGTGAATAATAATAATAAACAATCCTAGATAGTCTCATTGACCTTTTTGAATCTATAAATAAGTCTATAGATCCCTTTTTTACCAGAATCCACCATATTTTCAATTCCCTTTTTGCTCAGATGAATACGCTTCCTTTCTTTTGATCGTCTCCTCTGGTTTCTCAGCAATTCTGTTGGCTACTGTTGTATTGGCTGTCAGCCACCTGGGTTTGGCATTAAAGGGGAATGATTAATACTACTTGCATTTGTCCTGAAGGCAAACAGATGCTTCGCGGAAGGCAAATCGCATAGTCCCTTTTTGCAACTTCTTGATGCAATTGCATCTTTCCTGGAATCTTGCAGCTACTCTCTGCAGATGCAGCATAATCCTTAGAAAGATGTGATTTCCCTTGGGAGGTATGGTAAACTGAAGATGTCTCCACAAAAGCAGAGCTGAAAATTATGGAAAAGATCATGGGCTATTTTCCTTGCAGTAACACACACGTGAAGCCCCTCTTTTGAATGCTTTGCACAGCCCTAGTATCTTGAGCCAAAGTGAGATGAAGTGCTTTCATTACAACTGAAATCTACATAGGGCACACCTATGAACATACAATTATATTCAAAGGAATATAATACTCACTTTAAAACTAAGGGTTGAATATGCCATCTAATCAGATTCCTGATTCCATACTTGTTTCATAATGCAGAACTTGGATGAATGTTCAAATATCTCACTCACTGTGGTATATAAAAACCACAGAAAAAGTTGGCTATTGAAGAACTTTTAGCAGATTAACAATGCAGTAAATGACATTTTAGACCTAAGAAGGGAGAGAGGGTAAGAAATAGACTGAGAATAGCTTTTCTTTGATTCTGTATGGGATAAGAGGGGGCAGAGAGAAATCCTGGCAAATGGTTGATGTGCTGTTCTATACCCTACAACAATAAAGTAGCATTGCGGAGTTTGTTTCCTCACCCATATTCCCAAAGGACTGACTCTCAAAGAGCTACTTAAAATAACTGCATTTTTCACAGATCATGCATACAGAAGTAAGGGTGAAACAAGGCTAAACAAGGGTGTCCTCAAATGGCAAAGAAAAGTAGCCTTCTTTCAGGGCTTCTTTACATAAGAAGATGGATTTAAAGGTTAATTCTTTGACACTTGCAAGATGGCAGTCAAATCCAATAAGCAGCAGCCCATTTACATCTATCTAACTGGTCTCTTGAGAGCTTTAGAGGAGCTGTTTGCGATAGTTGCTTATCCAAACCCTCTTAAACATCTGTCTGTTTTGGATGCTAACTTTCTTGTAGAACTTCGTAATGTGGTTATTGAAACAAATCTGCACATGCTGATCTAATTCCATCATGCACAAGCAAATATACTCTTGTATCTATATTTAGTAAAGAAAAACATGGATATTTATATCTCTGCTGCATTATACAGTTGTCCCATCCACCTAGAATCATTAGATGAGGCAGCTTACAGATAAAGGAATGAACAAATAAAATAAGTATAGAACTACAACAGCAACAAATTAATGGAACAGACTATAACCTGGTTATTCATGGTCATTATCTTTAAAAGATAACAGGAAACATTTAGTTGCCCTTTGTGAAAGAGGGAGATATTTCCATCTTTATTCTAAAGGAGATGTTCTGTATTTCAAGATAGAAAAACAAAATGGTGGAACTGTTGGGTATTGCCATGCTTGGATAGTCTTGTCAGTTCTGTAACCTTGTTTATATTGGGAGACTTATTACAGAGCAGATCTTAATGAAAATCTCTCCATTTCCCTGTTGTCTTAAACTACCTCTGAAAATGATTCATCCATATAGGTCGGGTGATAAATGCAATCAATATGGAGACATAATCCTTTATTGAATTTCATGGCCTTAGATTTCATGGGCAGGCAGCTAAAAATGGTTAGCAGGTTTTCCCATTCTTTTTAGTTTGGGGAAAGACAAATTACTATTGAAAAACTTCCACCTTGTGATTTTCCATTTGGACTCTTTTTAAACACCCTTAATGTGGAAATAATGTGTAATTACTACCAAAGAGACAATTATATACAGTATATATAATCATAAAATATATAATTCATTTGTCTGAGTAAATACAATATTTGTAGGCTAAACTGAAAAATCACCCCAAACACCTTTATGGCTGTTTGCAGCATCCCACACTCACATAACCATGATTTGCAATATTTTTTGTCCATTTGTGGCATTACTTCCAGTTTTTGGCAAAATGCCCATTGTGAAAAATGGATTCACTTAACAATCACATGGTTGACTTAACCGCCGCAAATAAAATATTGAAAAATCATGTCCGATCATGTGATGCCTCGACTTACAAACACAATGACTAACGATCATAATTCCAACGGTCATAAGTTGAGGACTCTGTACTAGAATCCTTTTTCTGAATTTAGAGATATTTTTGAAGTAAGCCCGTTTCTAGCCATAAGCTTATGCTAAAGATAGAGCTTTCAAAATGACATGAGCTATAACTTTATTGGTAATAGTAAAAGTAAGAATATAAATTATTCCAGGGGAAGTAACTAGACATAATATAAAACTTACTTCTGTGCATTAATAATTACAGTGCTACAATTACAGTGCTCTGTATTGTGCAATACAGAGTTTATCATGAAATTAATTGACAGTTGTGTAAAATTATAATTTCTTGAAAGTTCACAAGTTTTAATACATTAAATAAAGAAAGTATTAATTGAGAACAGCAGCAACCAAGAAATGAGTCCACAATCACTTTTAACAAAGTAATCTCAGGTTATTCATTTCTTTAACCATTTCCATTTTCCTTTGGTGGAAATGTTCCACTTCCATTCTTTTAGTTAGTACCGGTAAATAAGCAAAGACTGAACAGTTTATGTTCCATACATTGACAGAAATCCTTGACCTCACTGAAGATGTTGATAGATTTCTTGATTGTAGCACCTCTTGCATTTAATTATAAAATTATACATGTTTTTGATTTGCCATCTGCTGAGTCTCCATTTCCACTATCTTCTGCTAATAAAATGCAAAAAAGAGGTATAAATATGCATGCATTTTAATTTTTGAAGTGGTTTTTTGGTGTATATCTTAGCATGAGAAGAATCATCTAATCATTTGAAAGTTCAATACATTTTCACTGCTGACATCATTGAATGCACTCTGGTACATTCTTTCATTATAACCAATTATTAATTATCAGATGTATAAACATCATGCAACATTTCTCTGTGGACATTTTGGAACATAAAGTTAAGTGATAGGACAATATAATCCTTTTTCATACTTGACCAATATAAGCTTTTCTCTTAGTTAATTTGAAATGATCACACAAGATTGTATTGGTTATGGTTTTTTTCATGACAATTGGTTCTTTTCTGATTTACTTGCATTAATTACCAACATTAGAATTAAACTTAAATTTCAAAACTGGGGATCACTATGTTACTAGGTTATTTTTGTTCTTTTTCATCTGTATGGAAACTTTATCTATTGCCTATCTCCTGAAATGCTGAAGTATAATTAACAGTATAATTTTTACTTGAATTTTGAGGTGTTGTATTTATTTTTCTCCCAAACTTCCCACTATAATGGTTCATTTAACTGTATTTCATTTATTTTTAAAGCGTTTACATTGCACAACCTAATTACATTGAACAGCAGGAAGCACTACATGGTTGGTTCCCTCCTATTTGAGCCTTGTCAGATGTGAGTAGCCTGATGTTATTCTGTGGGGTTTCAAACCTTTGTACTTTAGATAACTAATGTATATACAGGGCATTAACTTTAGGAGCTGCATAGAACCTGCTACTCAGTGGTTGAAGGAAAGAATATATGGAAGCTATCAGAACAGTACATTTAATATATATCAGCCTTTCACAACTGGGGTTCTCAGAAAGGTTGCTAGATGTTCCACAAAAGATGGTGTGGGGGGAGAGAATTTGATGGTGAGCCCTGGGCAATGCTAGTGTTGGAATTTTTACATTCTACAACTCAGCTACCAGCCTACTGTTTTGTTAGGGGTTCAGTGACACAATTAAAATCCAAAACACAGCTTTGCATTTGGGGGGAAGAGAGAACCAACCAGAGTAGGCTGATCAGTTGTCCAAAATAAACCAAACCAGAAAAATGCCATTCTCTACTCAAAACAGGCTTGACATTATTTGCTGATCACTCTCACATGCTGTGAGTTGTAGATATAAGCTTAATGTAGGAGTTCCCTGAGACCTGAAAATTATATTAAGGGTTCTTCCTAGATAAAAGTTTGAGAACTGCTGGCATGTCTAGTCTATCTTCCCTTAAGCTGTCAGAGCAGTGAGTTATTTTTACACATTGTATAATAGGGTGGTCCAAAGATAAATATTTGGTATAATCAATGCCATATTGAAATCTGGTGACAAACTATATGTTAATTACAGAATTGTTTTATATTTCCATATATAATTAATCTCAGTGATAGTTTGATAACCCACATAGAAATATCCTGATTTTTTTTTAGTTTATATATAATTGCCTTACTGTTTTAATATGGTATAATAATGGAAGAGTGTAATGCTTAACTACAGATTTTACAGACAGATCTATGCATATTTTATAGAATGTTTGAATTATAGTTCCCAAAAATAGCTTTTGAAAAATTAGGATGTTCATCTATTCTGATGTGCTTTTTAAAGATATTCCATTAAAACATATTTAATTTTGAAAAACAATGTTTATTAAAAATATTATAATATAAGCATTTACAATTTGTTTTAGTTTTGCATGTGAAAGAGAAGACTGATAGAAAATGAAGAACTTCCATTATCTACATTCTTTCTAAACTGATGGGCAATGCTAATAGAAAAAACATCATGTAAAGCACTTATGAAAAAGTGCCATCATAACTGATAATAAAACTATGTGAGAACATTTTCTTTAAAATATACATTTTAGGTCAGCCCATAGAATTGATTAGGAGTAGGTTATGAGTAGGCCAAAGATGGTACTTCTTCACAAAATTAATTTATGAAATTAAATTCCACTAGGTAAATTGATTTTGCCTTTAGCTTATGTGACTTTGAAGTTAGGCCACTACCAGTATCCATCTAGTTCAGGGGTTCTCAACCTTGACAACTTTAAGACTTGTGGACTTCAATTCCCAGAATTCCTCAGCCAGCAAAGCTGGCTGAGGAATTCTGGGAGTTGAAGTCCACAAGTCTTAAAGTTGTCAAGGTTGAGAACCCCTGATCTAGTTGTTATTTTTACCAGTTGCTATTAGTATAATAGATATATATGCTTCTGAAAACTTTTTTCAGAACTGAAAGAGAGAATGTTCAAATTTGCCAACTTTGAAAGTCTTCATTCCTTCTGGCAGATTGCAAGCTGCTGTTTTCAAGAGTGTAGAATATTTTCAAGATCAGACCACTGGTGGTCTCCAAAAAGGGAGGACAGAATAATAGTTTACACAACTTTCAGTTGCTATTATTTAATAAGGCAGCATAATTATTGACCCTAATCTAACACTAATTATATATCAGCAAAGTGAAAATGTAATTGGAGATCATGACCAGGGAAATAATATACTTCAGAACTCATTATTCACTCATAACAAAAAGAGATATAAGTGAATTGATTTCTTACTGGTAGCTGATTTATGCTTTCCATTGCAAAATAAACAAATTGGGCTATTTATGGGAATTCCTTGGTTAGATTGGGGCCAATGGACTTTTTATGATGTCATTAACAGTCTACAAAATGTTAAAGTAAATTATAGCTATTATTGATCCAATCGCATTTTCAGGATAGTCTCTCTTGATTGTGGCCTCAAACCGTGCAAGATACAGCAAGAAAATAAAATATTAAAAAAAACTACTGTAGCACAAATTAGAATTGATTCAGCAGCTCCATTCTCATTAAATCATACCATTTGCATAATTTCTGATCCAAAATCTTAAATCTAGACTAATTTAGAGTTTTAACTTTTGAAGTTAGAAAGTTGGCTGATTCAAAATGTTACCAGATAATAAGTTTCAACTGTGATTTATTTAAATATGATCTTGATAAACATATAGTGGCTTAAAATTGGTATGCCTTATTTCTGTAGTTTTGGTTTGTCTGCACTCTTTTTTAATTTGCTGCTTACTGTCCCACTAAAGAAACTACATTAGAACTGCATTCAGATGGATTCACCCCAAAGTGAATCAGTATCTTCCCTCCCTCCCTCCCTCCCTCCCTCCCTCCCTCTGAAGATACTGTCTGGAAACTAGAATACACTTTAAAATGAAAGGTTCTGAATTTTGGCTGATTTCTTGCTTTATTTCTTCATATTATTCCTGAATCTTATGTCTAAACCAATTTAAACTCTTTTCAATTAGTGGGCTCCTGAGATATTTAGATTTTGCCCATAATGATCTGTCATTATTTACACTAATCCCCTAAAGGATAACTGAGTTAATCTGTTGCAGCAAAGAACTGGTGGTATGTACTGCAGACCATGAAATTATATAAATTAAAACTACATTTGGTACCTTAAGTTCCAAATTCAGCAACAATTCTCAATGTTGCAGAAATATTTGCATGTACAGGATTGGCTAAATCAGCACATTTCTATATGCCTAACCTTTCTTGCCATCAACTTCTAGCTTTTTCTTTTCTTCTTCAAGAGCTTTCATCTTCTCGTCATAAATATCACCTAGCGCTTTCCATTTCACTCGATTGTTTTGAAGACCATCAAGCATAGGTGTAATTTCTTTATGGAACCTTGAGAATTCCTAAAGAAATAGTGGAGTTCCATATATTTATCATTAAAATGGAAAATTAGCAGTAGCATATATGCATTTTTAAACATAGAAAAATCTTTATTAGAAAACAAAGAGGACTGAAAAATCTTATCAGCCCAATATTTTTCTTTAGGGACGCATTTCTTACATTTATTACACAAGGAAAATTTATAACGGCAGGTTTTCCTTTGGCACTTAGAGTTCCATCCTTCACTGTTTTTAGGTACTATTGTTGATTCCAACCCACAACACTAGAATGAGGCTAACATTTCTATCAGAAAAATGTAGGAGATAATTTGTCTCTCTACTGCCATTTTGTTTCAACCTGCATCAAATACTGAACTCACCAGTCAAGAGGAAGATGTAGGTTTGAAAATTGGGAATGTTTTCCTAATATCCGTTTCTGTTTTAATGCAAGCATATTTTGGTTTTATTGAATGTAATGCATGTGGTTTGATATCTTGACTGGAAAATACATTAACACTTGTAGGAAATACTCCAGAGACTCAACATTTCAGGGCATTCACAAACATTTGAGCTTATAAGTACAATGGTTGTTTATTTAATGTCTTTTCATCAAAAACTGCTCTGTGCAAATTTAATCTTATATTTTGTATTTCTGTATAAGAACATATATAACAAAATGGAATAATATGAAGTTATCTCTTACCTTATACACAAAGGTACATACAAAATCAATGAAACCACATTGAAGCTTAGGTAATTCATCCTTCTTGGCTCTGTCCATCAAAGGCTAGAAAGGATTGAAAAAAGTAATTAGTGGGGATGTAACTGGATTATTTTTAAGATTGAAACCATGCTGGGTAAAATAATAAACTGCTTACAATTGGCTGTTGCTGTAGGACTGTTTGTTCAAGATCACCTTGCTCCCAAAATTCACTTGCAACCATCAAAGCAACCTGAGAATGGATAATAATTAATTTTATGTTTTTTGCAATAGTTGTCAGCTACTAGAGTAATTAGTCATGTCCTCATCAAAGCATGCATTTATTTTGTGGATATTTTTTATTATTTTAATGTTCTTAATTGCTTTATAATTTTAGAATTGTAACTTGCCCAGAAACACTTGGTTGAGATAGATAGCTATAGAAAATGAATGAATGAATGCATTCATTTGCCCATCATAGTCACATTTCTCACATCTAACATATACTACATATAAGTAAGTACCATAGTACTCAATATCCTTACTTGTAAAATCTTTTTAAAGCTGCCACAGAAGAAGGCTTTCAAGCAGAATTAAAATGGAACTGAATTGTTTTTAAATGTGTATTTGGTTTAAAATTAATCATGCTTTTGTTTTAAATGGGGTACATACTGGGGGCAGGGGCATATGGGAACTGACCTTGGCCTTGCTAATTACCAGGTCTGCTTGCAGTGCTGAAAACCAGGGGGAAGCTGTCTCAAAGTTTGTTAATAAAAGGAAGTAACCAGGAACATAATTCTGTCTATATTTTAATGTAGCCAGATTTGGTATATTTGATTGCTCCATGTAAAAGAATATTGTAGAAAAGGGCAGAAAAAAAGATCTTTTCTATGAAAAAAATGCTAACCCTTTAGGACCTTGTTTTATTTTTAGAAAATGTTCACAAAAAGAAAACACATACAGTGTATGTATGGTCGGTAAAAATGGGTGGAGACTATTTCTTAAGCGAACATGTAAATGGGATATAAATCTAAGTAGTAAATGTGTTTCTTGTTACCACTGCTAGAAATGAATCCTCCTATAAACAGTGACCAGATGATTGTCAAGCATGTTCCAGATTAATAAGTAATGTGGTCTTCACAGACAATTTGATCCAAATCATAGTTGCGCGATCAATAGCTTGAAAGGGGGATTGGCATGACAGATAGAAAAATGGCCAAAGACAGGCCTAGTTCACAATGGGACAATACAAAAGAAGAGATTTTCTTAACAATGGGCTTAGCAGAAATGTTTGATGACAGGCATCTCAGGGCAGGCAGATCTTGAAAAGTTTTGAGTGTGAATTTCCCCATCTTTGAGCTCAAGTAAAATATGCCATTTAGTTGCAATTTTAAATTACACAAAAGGGAGGGGATCATTAAGTTCAATAAATGAATTAACTTGAATTGTATTACACCAAATTAGGTTTTGATCTAATCATGCTGCATTGGAAATACAGTTGCCAGCATTCAGAATCCAGTATGGCCTTTAGTCTGAAATAGATGGTGTAGCTCAGGGCTAGACTGGGCTTTGGTTTGAACTGGAAATACTGTTAAGGGAGTTTTGGTTCCTTAAAAAAAATGTCAGTTTTCTCCTTTGTTGCATTATACCTAAACTGCTTTGCAAGAACAACAAGTAGACTAAAGAGCATAAATTAAATTCAGAATTTTGCTTGATTCTCATGGTGCCCACCTTACTTTGCACCTCCCAAGGTTTAGTGATGGCAGAAAGGTCACAGCCAGTCATCATCATAGCCCTTTAAATAAAAATAATAGATTTAGGAATATATAGAAAAATCAGTACATTCCATATTGCAGGAAGAGAAAAATTAAATTTACTTACATGATTACTTCTTTTTTGGTAGGGTCCATAGTTATGTATTTAATTGCTTCATTCTCATCTTCCATTTTTTCAGTGGCATCCACTATTTTCTGAAACATAGTCCTTTTTCTGTGAAAAATAGTAACTTTTGTAATACACGTGTCGTCTTTTTTGAGGATCTGCTTCAACATCAATATTATGTGAAGGGTTTTAACCAGTGGTGGGATTCAGCCAGTTTGCACCACTTCAGCAGAACCGGTAGCTAATTTTTTGTTGCCCAGGCCCAGAATGGACTTCCGGAAGCAACATCCACACTGAGAACCAGTTGTTCACATAGTTGACTCCCACCACTGGTTTTAACTTTCCCCTTCCCTCTCCTCCAGTTCCCTGCGGATGATCCAGATTTGCGCTGGATGGTTTCTGCTGGGTCACATTTGAGAGAAGTGTGGGTAAGTGAAAACCTCTGATAGATGCAGATCAATCAGCAGAATTGTACCACAGAATTTAATTCATAGATTTCAGGAGTCCAGCCAACAGATTAGTTGACAAAGCAGAAAGGAATGATGTTTATAATGCTGTATTTTAAGCATGATAGTTCCCTGATCATTATGAGATTTCTTATTAAATCTCAGTATCATATTTACTTCATGTTTTTAAATATACATATTACATAGAGTACATTGGAAAGCAATCATTTTTATGATGCATAGATATGCAAAAGTTCAAATCTGACAGTCACCAATAAGTTCAATTGTTAATGTTTATATCGTTTAACTTGCCTTTAATGATGATTAAAACCACAAAAGAGCAAAAAAAAAGAGATCATTTTTAAAATAAGAGTAGGACAAAATGCAGTAATGTTAATGTGCATAAGAAGACTTTGTTGTTTTATAATAGGAAATAAAGGACTTACTTGAAATACAGAGCCAAGTCAGTTGCTATGATGCAAACTTCAAATATATGCAAAATATTTTCATGCTGGCGTTTATTCAGATTTTGGAAGATGTTTAAACTCTGCAGAATAAAGATTTTTTTTGCAAGTCAGTATTGCTTCCAAAATAGAAAATAGCATTTCCTCCACGTAGGAATGCTACTGTTTTGCTATAGCTGGTAGAAATATTTTCTGTACCAAATGAATGAAAATAAGCACAGACCTCATCCTGTAGCAGGGTTTTACTGTACTCTAGATGGTGCCTTTCTAAAATGGAAGAGCCATGGAGCTTTGCCAATGGAGCTGCTGACCTGGTGAAAAATTAGAGAATTTAGAATACTTCAGGGGTTTTGTTTACCCAAATCTTTGCACATTTTAGAACAGATAACAAACAACCTGTGGAATATAGGCAACATTCTGTTGGCATGCCCAGAACGTCCCTGGAATATCTCCTTATCTGAGGAGATCAGAGGCAAAATAGACGCATTAGGGCTTTGTTTAATATACCTTATTTTATCTCTTAAAATTCCTGGAAACTTAACCCAAAAGTAAGCTGATCTGTTAGATTATGAGGAACAAAATAGGTGCTCTCAGCTTTGCAAAGCTCACAACTTACAGTATATTTTGCCCCTTAACTTCTGATGGTCTTTATACGGCAAAGCAATTTGCCCATTCTTAAAAGTTCATTGACATCCCTCAAGTGCCATCTATGTATTTATTTAATATTAAGCTTGCTGTGTACCCACTTCTGGTATAGAGTTTTTCATTGTTTCTTATCAACGAAGTCCCAGCAACAGATCTTCCTGTTAGTCAGTTTCTGATTCCAGAACTTTTGAGCTCAGCATGGGCAATTGCCAAAAGCTCAGAAGATCTCAGCAATCATCACTGGAGACCCCAGAGACAGGTTTCCTGGACCAACAGTGACTGTTAGATTAGTCATGGTCTGCTCTACACCACTCACAACCTCGGAAATGTAATGGATGTGTCAGATTATAGAGCAATCTTAATGCAAAGTTGTTTTCATTTCAGTTATTTTGAATTCAGCAAATTATCATCCTCATCATGATTATTATTTATACCTTTCTCACTTCCAGGGAAGCTCAGAGAAGTTTAAGGGGGAAAATAAATAAATAAAACCAACCTGTGATTTAAGAATTTGATGATTGGAAAAATCTATGAAAGAAGGAAATTGTGTGTGTGTAGAGAATAGGGTAAAATATCAATGTACTCGTAACTGCTGTTAACAAGAGCAGAGGCTGCTTCTTTATAACTGTTTTTCTTTTCTTTCTACCTTTTTACTTATTATTTTGCCTTCCTGGCTCTTCTCATTCAGAATTTGCATTGTTTTTATTCTTTTAAATTTTTTAAATAAAAATTACACACACATGAGTGGACACACACACACACACACACACACACACACACACAATAAAACTGGCAAGAAAATGAATAGTGGCTTCATTCTTTAAAACAAACTTAAAATAATCTAAAAATCATCCAATTTCAGATGGGTTATCTCACAAATTCCTGAGTGGATGGATGTCTCTTTTAACTGTTTTTTTTTTAATTATTCCCAGCTGAGCCTCCTATATATTATCCCTATTATATAAGGATTTTGCTGTGGATATGCTCTACTCCTGGCAACCAAAAAGCTGAAGCCCAAAGTTTTTCCAGCTGAATGAATTGGAGGATACAAGGGACAGAGCTCATTAGCTTTGCCAAGTTCATTCAGAAGTAGTATGATTTTATCCAAGAGAATTGACTTCACAATATCATATAGCCATATATCTCTTGTCTGATATAGATTCAGCTTCAGTTCCTGGGGCCTCATCCATCATTGCATCCAGACCATTGACAAGCAACTGCACAGCCTTTCCTCATTCAGATGGAAAGGAGAGATGGAGCTATATTAATTATACTGAACTCCAAATATGAGGATGCGCAGATGTAGGTATCAAATAACAAAGGGGAGAGAATTGAATCCAGTGAGATCCACAAATTGGGTGACATGGGCCAAGCAAAAATCTATTGCCACACCTTGGACAGTTCTGCAAGTAAGGATGGAACTGTCCTGGACAGTCCAACAATATCTTCTGTCCAAGGGTTTCAAAGACGACTGAAGAATCAAAGAGAATGCATTAGATAAATAGAACTCTATATTTAGTAGCTGTAATTTCCACGATTAATATGTATTGGGTTGCTTTTGCTGTAGAGTTCAACTAGATAGAATTGTTTGGACTTGCTTGTGGACTTCCCAGGGCATTGTGTGCTGTTTACAGTCAAGGATACACAAGAATGCTAGTTTAAGTGTGAAAGGATTACAGTGACATAAAATAACACATTTAGTAATCAAAGATACACAGAAATATGCTACTCACTTCATTTGATATAAGTTGTTGGTTCCTCTGTGGTCAATATCATGGCAAAAAGCTGCAGCTACCATAGCAAAGGCTTCTAGGTCAGTGTAATATTTCTTTAACTTACCAGTCTATAAAAAGAGAACCTTTTAAAATCATTTCTTTATATTTACATCTACATCTCTATACAGTTGATCATCTATATCTACATCTACATCTCATCTATACATAGCTCTATCTCTATCTCTGTCTACCTCTGTATCCATCCATCACAATGAAAAGCAAATTAAGGCTTAGATCCAAAGAAACAACTGGTACCATTAAAAGAGCAAACATGGTCTGTCCAACGTTAAATCCATGCCGCCAGTTGTGGTAAGTGATGTCACGATATCCTTTTCTGATTGTATACATCCATCTTGTGAGTACCTGTGAAAAATTAAGATATTCCATTCTCCTATGGTACTTGTGAACATTACATAAGACAACAGCTTTAATGGTCACAGTGAAATGATAAGGCTGATAACAAAATTGATGTCAGGTTTGCCAGATAGTCTAGACAAGAATGACATGTAAGAGTATTAGTTCTGACTTTATTTTAATCTTACATTAACAGAATCTTGCAAAGTACATCTGAGATGTTTGATGCACCCCGTTCACTCTGCTGGTTCAGCTGCCTCTTATCTGATTGTTATCTAGTCTGTAGCTCTTCCTTCCTCCCAAGATCATGGCCACATCCCAGTCCAGTAATAGATGAAGATGGATTTGTACAAGAGTCACCTGGTCATGTTGCCAGTTGTTCAAACAGGAACCAAGAGCTCAAGAGAAGTCCCAAAAATGTATACCGGTTCTATCTGGGTGAATGGTACATCATCCAAAATTAAAGTTGGAAGGCCCCTCAGATCCTTTATTCCACGTGCACCCTTAGATTGCTAAGTTTAGGCCAGAGTCTCCAAATGCTAGGAAAAGCCTTGATGGCATCACTTGTGCAGCCTGGAGCAGAGATGTATAGCAGATTATCCTCTGCATACTGATGATACTTAATCTCATACCAATGGATGACATCACCCAGTGGATTCATGTGAATATTAAATAGGAGTAGAGAGTGCAGAACCATGTGGAAGTTCATAAAATAGGGATCTAAGGATAAATCTTTCCCTACCTACCAACAACAACTGAAATCTGTCCCAGCAAGTAGAAGATGGCCTCACTCCCAATCTCTGAAGTCAGCCCAAAAGGCCACAGAGAAATCAAGGAGGGACAGGAGGGATGCATTATCCCATCCTGATCCTGCCAAACAGCATGAATTAATATGATCAATAAATAAGACTACCAACTGGCATCCTATGCATACAATAAAAGGTAAAGGTTTCCCTGTCCAGTCATGTCCAACTCTAGGATGGAGTGCTCATCTCTTTGGTCAAGGGAGCCAGTGTTGTCCAAAGACATTTTCCATGGTCATGTGGCCAGCACTGCTATACACCAAAGATGCACAGAACATTGTTACCTTCCCACTGAAGTGACACCTATTTATCTGCTCTCATTTGCATGCTTTCAAACTGCTAGGTGGTCAGAAGCTGGGGCAGAAATGGGAGCTCATCCCGTTGCGCGACACTCAGATCTTGAACCCAGACTGTCAGTTTTCTAGCTGACAAGCTCAGCAGCTTTAACCACTGAGCCATTGTGCCCCCTATGGATACAATAGGAGTTGGAAAATAATTAGATTTTGCCATTCTTATCGTGCCAGGATAACCCTTCTTAAAAGCTCAATTGGATCCATTCATTGTTCTCTCTTGCAACACTCTAAGTGCTCTTTCACTTCATCTCCATAAATGCCTTTAAAATCCAGGGATTTTCCAGTGTCTGCCGAGGCACATTCCCATGTAAGGCCATCACATCCTCTCATACCAGGGCATGATTAACACTAGAGGTGAATCATACATCAGAGCCTTAGGAATAACTCCAAGTTCTTTCTGAAATCCAGCGGGGTCTCATCACAGGGCCCCCTTTATGTTATGTCTAGAATGTGTTTTCTGATACATTTGCCCCTGAAGTAGGCCATTGCTATTGTGAAATAAATATCCATTGGCAAAGGTGATATGTCATAGATTTTATCCTGAACTATCTTTATGGGGGGGAAAAGGCAAAATGAACCTGACCTCTGGTGGTACTTTGAACTTCTCTACAACTTTTAACTGGAAGAACATTTGTATGCCGCACTTGATCAAGTCATGATCTGTAACAGGGAAGTCGCTGAAGTGAAATTCAAAGAGTTCAACGCTGCCTGGCTCAGGTAATTCCTCTGCCTGTTGAAGGAGGAAATGCAAGATAATCTTACTTGGACAGGTAGAAGATATTTTGAGCATCTTTTATTTATTACCTTTTTCAGCATTTATTGTTAAGGGGAGCAGTGCCTTGCTATCTGCTTGGAATTATCACCTATGCAGAATTCTCATATTTCAAGAGGCATGTCTGATAAAAACTAACCTTTTCAATAATTATGAATTATTTTTGCAAGGGAAATATTTTTATGGCAGTGAAATGTATTGCTACCTGGTAGTTTCTATGAGATATAATTTAAAGAAAAGATCATCTGAAATAACTGGATCATTTGCTGTAGGTTGAACATATATTTTGCAACAAATTGGCTAAATCAGTGCCCCTTCAGACAAAATCTGGCCCATCAAATATATCCTGCTTATGCATGGATATGGCATTCAACTTTTAGCCCTAAGGCAGGGGTGTCAAACTCAATTTCATTGAGAGCTGCATCAGTATTGCGGTTGCCCTCAGGGGGCTGGGTGGGTGTGGCCAGGGGGGTGCAGCCTACTGGGTGGGTATGGATGGAGTGGGTGTGGCCTACTGGGTGGGCATGGCCAGCTCTACATCATTCGCATCAAGGGTGCCTGTGGGGGTCTGGGCAGGAGTGGGACAGATCTGAAGGTCTCTGGCAGAGGGGGTGGGACTGGGGCAAGTGCCAAGGCATGGTCCACTGGACGAGCCTCACTGTTCTTCTCAGGCCATGTGGGGGGGCTGGATGGTGGTGTGGGCTGTCTGGAGCCCTGGGCAGCAGAGGTCAAATGCCCAGCCTGGCTCTTGAGCACCCATGGCACCAAGCCCAGCCCCACTTCCTCAAGGCTGCTCCTTAAAGTTCTCCTGGTTCCTCGCTGTTTCCAGACAGCCTTCTGGAGCTAAGACTGAATGTGTTTCAGCATAGATGGCCACCACAAAATTCTACATTGGCTTCCGGCTGGCCTGGGCCAGGGCCAAGGCAGAGGGGGCTGTTCCCTCACTGTTTACAGGATGGCTTCGCGGGCCACATGAAACCACTTCGCGGGCCTTGTGTTTGACATGTCTGCCCTAAGGCCTGCAATTTCAGGAAAAGAAGCAGAATGGAAAATTATGACTAGCCTCTTAAGAAAATTATTCCTCATCACTGTAAAGGTCTCCCTAATCCAGTTTCTTATTACAGTGAGCAGTCTGATGCTTTAAGAAGCCTGACAAGCAGGGGATTAATGGCACTTTCCAGGTCATGCTCTCCAGCTGTCAAATTTTGCCAGTTGAGAATTACAGAATAACAGAGTTGGAAGCAGTGGTGGGATTCAGATAGGTGAACAACTGGTTCTCTGTGTGGATGCCATTTCCGGAAGTCCATTCTGGGCCTGGGCAACAAAAAATTAGCTACCGGTTCTGCCGAAGTGGTGTGAACTGGCTGAATCCCACCACTGGTTGGAAAGGACCTTGGAGGTCTTCTAATCCAAACCCCTGTTCAAGCAGGGGACCCTACACCATTTCTGATAGATGGCAGTCCAGTCTCTTCTTCAAACTCTCCAGTGATGGAACACCCACAACTTCTGCAGGCAAGCCATTCAATTGATTAATTGTTCTCACTGACAGGAAATTTCTCCTTAGTTTTAATTTGGAGCTCTCTTTGATAACCCACTATTCATTATTTCTTGTCCTGCATTTGTTACAGCCCCTCAAATATTGGAAGACTACTATCATGTCACCCCTAGTCCCTCTTTTTGTTAGGCTAGACCAGGGGTCTTCAAACTTGGCCCTTTTATGACTTGTGGACTTCAACTTCCAGAATTCCTCAGACAGTTATCACAACCATTCATTGTATAGTTTAGCCTCTAGTCCCCCAATCTTCTTTGTTCTTCTCTCCACTCTTTCTAGGGTCTCAACATCTTTTTTGTATCATGAGGACCAAAACTGGATGCAGTATTCCAAATGTGGTCTTACCAGTGCAGTATAAAGCGAGAATACCATGAGAATTCAGATGAAGGGAAAAGAAATATAAAAAATGTATTCCCTTTCCTCCGATTCATGAAAAGCCATCAGAAGAAAATAAGAGGGTATACAATGAGGAAACACAAATCACAATGCAAATTCTGCTGCTTTAATACATGAGTCATGATGTCACAACATGAGCATGGCACCAAGCTAACTTGGTGTTGTGACAGTTGGTTCCTGAATAACCTCAGAAAGTCTGCTTTCCAGCAAATGTATATTCATTGTTCTGATAAGATTTCTAGATTTAACAGGTGCTATTGCTCCAGTTGTCTTTGTGAATGGAAGGAGTAACCTTCATTCAGTGAATGTTCAGTCTAGAATTGACTTAATCAAGTCAGCTCACAGTGACACCGAAACATTTAAATAAGTTCCTTGGATGGATCCTAAGAGCAGGAGGTTTTACTATATAATCATTGCAACCTGAGCAACATTAATCCTGTGACTTACCAAAATAGAGTTAGATAGGATGGTCCAATGGGAGTGACTGAGACATGCTCTATACCCAAAGATTCAACTAGATTAGGATATTGCTTTGAATACCGTGCAATCATGAAAGAGGCAGATGGAACAAACACCCACATGTTATAAAGTCTACTTTGTAAAGGCAGAAATAGTAACCATTTATACTGTAGCAATAGAAGAATCCCCAGATAGCTATTACAGGTAATTGGTAACATTAGGAACTGAAAATGTTTCTTACTTATTGTTTATGGTATGTTTGTGAATTAATACAGTTTATAGTCCAAAGAAGAGGAAACACACTGAAATGTGATGCTAGTCGGAGAAGGGACAGGATAAAATAGAACATTATATAGAAATAGAGATAGGCCACTACTAAAATGAGAGTTCTATATACAGATATTCCTTAACTTACAACTATAATGGAGCCTGGGATTTCTGTCGTATGTCATGACAGTCATGAGTCAAGACACCCAGGTGACCAACCCAATGTTATATTTTTCTGCCGTGATTGTTAAGCAAACATGGCGGCTGTTAAGTGAATGAAGTAGCCATTAAGTGATTGTGGTGATCATTAAGCAAAACCATTGTCCATAATTGGGTGTTTTTGGCCATAAGCCAGAAGTAAATGTCAGTTTCCTGTAAAAAAAAACCACATTGAAATTGCAGTCATATGCCTGCAGCTCACTGCAATGGGCCATAAATATGGGCTGGTTGGTTGCTTTGTGACTACGTGAACCTGGGGAGGGGGGATGCTCAGAACTTTGAATTCCCTATAATGGCATCTGTTATATCCTAACTCATTGTTACTGGTGTGTAAAATGCTCTTTTAGTCCAAATAACTAAAGTCAAGTGAAACCAACAGGCACAAGTTGAACAAATAAAGTTTAAAAATCCCTAGCTGGCAAATAAATAAATCATCAAGAATGTTTCCACAGTATGGAACTATGTCTGTATAGACTTGAAGTTGACCTTTAGGAAAACAGTTGGTTACTTACCAGAATTTTAACAAGTTCTTTCTCATCACAGTCTTCAAAATTATCTTGATTCAATTTTTCTTTGCATTTCTTAAAGTAAGGAGCAAAGGAAAGAAACAATTTTAAGTTCTGTTCATCCAACAATAAGGTTCACACTTCCACCCAGGATGCAGAAGGAACACTCACCAGTATACTTTTAACTTCTGAAGGTGTTGCTTTTGTCTGATACATGAGCATTTCCTGAGCAATATCTTTCCGATTTTCCATCTTATTCAGTTTCTCATATGTCTCAGGATTTAAAACAGACCATCCAAGGAATTGTGTAAGCATCTGAATTGATAAAGAAGTAGAACTGTTTAGGGTTTTCAGTGTGACTCGTTCAATATATTTCAAATTTTGGAAAGGCACATATCCAACAATACTTTTAAGCTTTTGTTTAGGATTTCTTAAAAACAACCAAAAATGTTGAATGATATAGATGCTAATTTTTAGCAACTCCCTCATATGAAAGAAGACTCTATGAGTCATTCTATTTGACTCGAAATCAAATCCACAGCCCCCATTTAGGCGTCATATTATATGTTACACATCAAGAAACCTTTACACATGATATCCTCCAGGTTTTATCATATGTAAGTTTTCGCATGTACAATGAACATCTCCCTGTGTGTATGTAAGTATGCTGGAGAAGAAGTTGGCATGTCTATAGAAGAGACTTGTCTGATTATGATTATGTACAGAATGTCTTATGGATTTTATTCAGTTTTGTAGGCATACCATGTAAATAACACCATTAGTAGAATAGATCCCCTTCTCATCTGTTATAGGATTTCTAAGGTAGGGATCCTATTGAAGCAGGCTGGGAAGAAGAAACTACAGAAATATTGGGAGAAGAGGGAAAGATTGCACCATTTTTGGTGGTTGGATAGTGGCCTGCAACAATTGGATAGTGGCCTGCAACAAGCCGAGGTGGCGCAGCAGTTAGAGTGCAGTACTGCAGGCCACTTTAGCTGACTGTGTTCAGCAGGTCAGCGGTTCAAATCTCACCGGCTCAAGGTTGACTCAGCCTTCCATCCTTCCGGGGTAGGTAAAATGAGGACCCAGATTGTTGGGGGCAATGTAAATATATATATACATTGCTTACTGGTGTACACCACTTAGAGAGTGCTTACACTTAAAGCGGTATATAAGTCTCATAAATAAATAAATAAATAAATAAATAAATAAATAAATTATGCAATAAAAGTTGCATAATGCGATTACATTAAAATTGACAGAAGGAGTCAACCTATTCTCCAAAGCACCTGAAGGCAGGACAAGAAACAATGGATTGAAACTAATCAAGGAGAGAAGCAACCTAGAACTAAGGAGAAATTTCCTGACAGCTAGAACAATTAATCAGTGGAAGAACTTGCCTCCAGAAGTTGTGAATGCTCCAACATTGGAGGTTTTTAAGAAGAGATTGGATAACCTTTTGTCTGAAATGGTATAGGTTTCCTGCCTGAGCAGGGGGTTGGACTAGAAGACCTCCAAAGTTCCTTCCAACTCTGTTGTTAGATATAGATGGGGCATTATACTAGCAAGCAACTATTTTAACACGGCTTAAAGAATGGATAATGCTTAGAGACAAAAGACCATTATACCTAGAGGGGCATGACCTACAAATTTGTTGACATGCCTTTCTGTGGTATGGGAAGAATAAAACACATAGATACTTTCAAAATCACTTTATAAGAAATGCACTTCTTTCAGAATGGGGAAAAAAAGAAGCAAAACTTTATATTAAGATACCTGGATGGCTTTCAACAATGGAAACTTTCGCTTACCCAAATTTAATTAATTACGACAAAGTTGTGACTTATAAAGAAATTTTGGAAAATGAAGGAAAATTGAAAGACAGACAAGATTTACAAGAACAAGGTATTGATCTATCGTGGTGGCCATATCTGCAAATTCAAACAAGATATGAAAAAGATGTTAAAACAGTGGAATTCTATAAGGAACAGACAGAATTTGATCAGATACTGTTAAAAACAGATGAAAAGTTGATTAAGAAACTCTATAAATTTCTGTTAAACTTAAAGATGGAGGAAGAACAAGTTAAAAAAATGATGATAATATGGGCAAAAAACTTTGGATATAATATAGAATTAGAAGACTGGCAAAAGTAATGGAAAGAAATGTTAAATTAACTAAAGCAGTGGCATGTAAAGACAACTTATATAAAATGTTTTACAGATGGCATACGACACCAGTGAGATTAGCAAAACCGTTTAAAAATACTTCAAACAAGTGTTGGAAATGTAAACAAAGACCAGGTACTTACTATCATATCTGTGGACATGCCCAAAAGCAAAAAGATTTTGGGTAAAAATACATTTATGGTTGGAGACAATAACTAAAAAATAAATAGACTTTAAGCCAGAATTATTTTTGTTAAGAATAATAGGAGCAAATTATGAGAAAGATTGCATATATTTAATTCTACACATACTAACTGCAGCAAGAATTGTATTTGCCCAACATTGGAAAAATGAAAATTTACCAACTGAAGAAGTATTAATTAAGAAAATTTTAGAGTGTGCAGAAATGGACAGATTGACTTTAAAGATAAACGAGAAAGAAAACTCAGTGTATTTTAGAACATGGGATAATTTCTATCAATGGCTAGAAACATGAGTTAGAGAGAAAGGAATATGATATGTAACATTGAATATATATTAGTAAGAAGAAGACTATCGAGTGATTAATTAACATATTGTTTATGATAATTAACTATTATTTATTATTTCTTGTTAGCATGCTAAAGACTCAGCGGAGCCATGGAGGCAATGTCAAACTTTGTGGCCACTTTCCTACCACCAGGAAACTGCAGAAATAAGTAGGGGATGGGAATCATATGTAGGGAATGCTATGCCCTCAAAGTCATTTAGAGCCACAAATGCTAATAACCAGCAATGCCTGGGGAAAAGGGTGGCAAAAGAACCACGTTGGCAATTATAAATGCCTCACCCCTTTTGTGTATGTCTGATGTTTACACACCTACAAAAGATGACACCTACTGTCATCTTGACTATTTTGACCCACACAGACATGCATGCCTATGATCTTAATATGAATAGCAATATGCATTTAGCTAAAAACAAACTAGTGCAACCAGTGCAACTCAACGGAAACAGGTGAAACTTGCTACTACTATATGGTTCCCAACAAGCTAGTTCACTGCAGGGGTAGAACGAAGGGTTCTTGGCCATGTAGTGGACTTCCAATGATCTCTTAATGATGGATCATGTCAGCTGCCACTTCATGCTTGCGCTTTGCAGCCATTCAGTATCTCCGAGATGGGCTGCAAGAACAACCGGCTGGGAATGGAAAGCAGCTGCATACCAAATCTACACCCGAAGTGACTGTTCTAAAAACATCTTGCTTGAATTTGATTGGACATGGGGGCCCAGTGATGGGAGGCAACTAAGGGAGGGAAAAGTTCGACTTGGGATTTTGGTGCGCAATTCTCAGTTCTGGCTATGCATTGTTGTAATTCACTTGACTTCTAGTAAACAATACCTTTCTCGATAAATGGGGTTAAGGATCGTCCTTACATAGAGGTTCAAGCTGAGAGGCAGATCTGACAGATAGGGATGCTGTGGATGGTACACTGACTTTCATGCTGCCTTTACCCTTACCAATATATTAATAGCTACTGTATTCCACCACCTTTCTTATCATTGTTTATAACAGTGAGTTGTACCTAAGGACATAGTCAAGATATTAACTCCTTGCTTGCGAGGTAAGCCACAGCTTGTAAATTCTATTTAAAGGATGATTAGATAGAGACATTAACAAGTATACATTCTTACTGATTTCTATGAGAATTTTCTTCCTCTGGTGCCTCACTGTAAGCTGATAAAACCAACCAACTTTGAACTTACTTCAGTTATCTGTTCGTCATATTCATCAAATGGTTTTCCATCTTTCCTGTTGTAAAACGTAGCTACGCCTACAATCTCTTCTTTTTTGTTTACAATAGGTAAAGATAAGACATTTTTTACAGTCCAGCCTGAGTCGTCCAAAGGTTCTCTCTAAACAAAAGGAAAAGAAAGGCTATTAGAGTATTTATGGAGACCAGCATGGTTACGCATGGTGCATGTACATAGGATAAAGGCAGTGGGTCCAACTAAATAAAATAAGAATTAATGTTTTTATCTATTTCCTTGCTTGCTTGCGGAGCCAGTAAAAATGATATTACCTGAAAAGCGAAGTATTCGTCTGCTTGTGCATTCATCATATTGCAAATCTAGGGGAGAAAATAAACAATAAAGATTTGTTCCTACATTTAAATATTGGCATTCATTACCACTAACCAAGTACGAGTGTTCAGGATGGTTGGTCCTATTGCTACCTTTCAAAAAGGCATTGTACAGGTAGTCCTCAACTTACAACAGTTTGTTTAGTGACCATTTGAAGTTACATCAGCTTTATGACCATTTTGTATACTTAAAACTATAGCAGCATCCCCATGGTCACGTGATCAAAATTCAAACACAGTTGTTATGCGAATCACTGCAGTTGTTAAGTTAGTAACACAGTTGTTAAGAGAATCTGGCTCCCCCATTGACTTGGCTTGTCAGAAGGTCGCAAAAGGTGATCACATGACCCCAGGACACTGCAACTGTCGTAAATATGAATCAGTTACCAAGTGTTTGAATTTTGATTATGTCACCATGGGGATGCTACAAAGTAGTATAGGTAATCCTCAACTTACAATTGGTTGTTTAATAACCATTCAAAGTTCAATGGACCCCCCCCCCAAGGTACTTATAATCCGATTTCAAAGTTCCATACTCCATGCCTTGATATGGTTTTCCTTCTGAGGAGATCTTTTCTAACGGTTGCTCTTCTCGCAGTCACATGATTGCATTTTGGGTGCTTGGCAACTGGCCTGCATTTACAGACATCCCATGGACATGTGACTATGATTTATGATGTTTTTTGCCGGAAACCGGTCTTTACTTCCGGTTTCCGGCAAAAAAATGGCCATTGCAGACAATAGATTTGCTTAATGACTCCAGTATTTGCTTAACTACTTACAATTAACTAAAGGGTTGAAAATCGGGTTAGTCACATAGTGACCCACACAATGAACAACATTACTTACAACTATAATTCCAGGTTCAATTTCAGTTGTAAGTCAAAGACTTCCTGAAGGTAATTGCTAACCACTCACAAAACACATTATCTAGAACAGGAGTTCCTAAACCTTTTGCCACCTCCCTTTAGTGTAATCTCAATATACAAACTTTCTTCTAAAAATCTAAGGTCCAAAATCAATACAAATGAAGAATGAAGCTATACAATGAAATTTTGCGAAAGGTGGATTTATTGTAACAGTGTACAGCTACAAATCTCCTTGGACTCAAGGGAGGTAAACTTCATAATCTGGGAAACCCTGATCTAGAAGCTAGAGCAGGAAAGCTATAGTAAGATAGTAGGACTTTGCAAGCCAACAGCTTTAAGCATAAGCCACAGTTTTTCATGAATAGAGCTGAAAGAAGCCCTGGTTTAGAATCTTGAGCTACTGTCATTCAGTGTAAAGAACATTACGTTAGATAGATAAATGGTATGTTTTTGTGCCACAGAACATAATTAATTTTATCACAATCAAACAGCCTAAGTATGTATAAGTAAAAGAGAGTCGCAAGTAATTGCATCAGAATGTTGTTCCTTCCCATATATTAAATTGTGAAATAAAAATGGTTAGTTCAAATGTGAACATGTAGATTTACACACACAAACACACATATCCAGCACATAGCCCCAGAAAGAATTATAGGGAAGTAACATCTGGAACTTACAAATCCATTTACAGCAACATAAGTTGGTAAGCCACTCACAAGACACCAGTGATCTGCAGGAGGTGACCTTAAGAGAGAGAATGAGTCAAAAATCATCATTTCATATTATACCATGAACTCCTACAGCTATTTACTATTTGAGCACCTAATAATAAGCACTTACGGAATTACTTGAATTTGTTCTTCTCCATGTAGAATATAATCGATTAGCTTATAAAAGTTAATTTCCTAAATACAAGGGGAAAAAGCAATACAAGAATCTTAAACATACCAACATTTCATAATATTGTAATTTGGACAGATGAAGTATATCTACTCACCCGACCATCAGGGGTCTTTGGTCCTTTGTAAGGCTCTACTTCTCCCAATTTAATTGGCCATTCATCGTAAAATTCCTGGAAATAATTGCATATTATTCAAGGGGTTCCTGAAGAAAAGAAGCTTCTAAAAACCTGGTGTCCTCCATAGATAGTATTTTGGACTTCAATTCTCATCTTCGGCCATTAGATAAGAGAAAATCTGTTTTCCGATAGGTTGCCTAATTCCTACAAAACTCAACCAGATATACTGTAAGATCAGTACACAGCAACATCCAAAGGGAAGGACAAGACAGATGAGATGGGTAGCAAGAATAACCTTGGGAGACGGGGAAGAGCCGCAGCCAGGGCATTGGTCAGATGAGAGAAATCTCAACCTGCAGAAGGAATGGAGATGCAGAAAGCATCTCAAAAGAGATCTTCCCCATTTACCTAGAAAGTAAAGACTGGGGAGAAGGGAAATGCTTTCAGACATGCAAGATTCTGTGACTGTAATCTTACAATAAAAATAGTTTTAGTACTCATGGATTTGGTTTCATGTCTGGACGATTTTCGAATGGCTGAAAATAATATCTGTAGCTGTGAAATGGAAATCCTGTCTCTTGTGCATTGCATACCCAAGCATATAAAAAGAGGGCAGGGCTTCTCTCATTCTGTAGTCTATTTTTGAGCCCCTTATCAGAACATTTGGACCAGGCAGGACAACTCTTAATATGGTTAAAACAACAGGGTTCTTGGTACTCTCTGAGTTTGATGGTTTTCTTGAAGACGTTTCATTACCAGACTAGCAATATTAGCACTACCAATATTATTCTGCACTGATGTTGTTACCTAGTCTGGTAATGAAACGTCTGCAAGAAAACCACCAAGTTCAGAGATTTTCTAATTTTTCTTTAAGAAATTTTGCTTCTCATCCAATTAGCTTCTTCAGTTCAGAACGAAGATGCTTATTGGATGAGAAGCGAAATGTCTTAAAGAAAAATCAGGAAGTCCAATTGCCTTTATTAAAAAAAAGCACCTTTGGGACAACCATGACCTGGATGATTTAGAACCTCTACAGACACATTCAAGAATTAAAGAGCACCAAGGAACCCACAGTTCAATCCTGACACACAAATATTCTCTTCTATGATTAAAACAATAGGGTGGGCAAGATTTGCCTCAAACAACAGGTTTTTGAAAGAAAAATAATATATCCGTTGTAAACATGCTTTATCTGAAGAAATAACCTATATTGATTGTAATAGAATTCATTTTCAAAGGTCATGCTTTTCATTTTTTTCATTTATGGCTCAGTTATGATTTCTAGATGACAAGAGGCTTTACTTCAAAGCATGGAATGAGAAGGAGTTAAATTGTTTTCTGCTGGTAAATAAAATTATACTGACCTTCTCTTTGGTCATGTCCAGCAGACCAATGGAATATCTTTCGCAATTTAAATATTGTCGAATAGTATACATGGCTTTGTGAAACTGTCGCTCAATATCTGTAAGTTCTTCAAATACTTTGTTGGCAGACCATAAAAGTATCTATTGAAGAGAAGTCAGGGTGGGGTGGGGGATAATTTTTTAATACGTGGCTAATGAGAGATAGAAAAAAACATGATAACTTCTGTTCAAACATTCAAGGTATTTGTTATATTGTCTGGTAGAGCCTATGACGTAATAGGCTATTTGGAACTAACATAGTTACCAAATACAGACAATGGCAGCTTAACATGGTCTCTTGGTAAGAGAAAAAATAAAACCAAACTATCCATACAAAATAATTACATTTAATTGATTATTAAAGTAGATAAAAATAATTTACCTGACTCTTTCTAAGTTCAACGTTATACAGGTATGTAATATGGTTTTGTTTCACAACAAGGGAAAGGAACTGAATATATTTATTAAAGACCTGCAAAAAAAAATATAAATAAGTATACAACAAATTCTTGGATGCTAACAGCATCTCTCAACCTTGATGACTTCAAAATATGTGAACTTCAATTCCCAGAATTTCCCAGCCATCCCAGCTAGGAGTTTAAGTCCACACATTTTAAAATTGTCAAAGCTGAGACCAAATTTAAGCAATTACAATTTGATGAGAATGAGATGGATGGCAAATAAATTTAACAGATAGATGATAGACAGCTAGATAACAAGATTATATGGAAGTTAACCTTATGGTTGCCTGACTCTTCCTGGAAGAGTTTGGCCTTCAGATAGAAGGCAATCAGGGTTTTGGTGTAGAAGGACTGGCAGAACCAGAGGAAGGGTGAAAAGAGGGATCAGCCTAGAATCACTACACAACCACAAAGAAATTAAACCCAAACCCCCTTGAATGTCACTGATCCTTCTCTAACTCAAACCAAGTACAGATCATTGGTTAAAAAGATTCCTATGTATAGCAATCAGTATAAATCAGTGAAATCAAACCTTCATTTGTGGATTTAATCTTTTGCACTGCCACTTGGGCCAGATGGAGGGGGCACATCCTTTTTTTAAATTTGGTTCTCAGTGGCTCTTAAAGTCATCACTCAAATTAGGATTTTTAACTTTTTTTTTCAATTTTTCGGGACTCAAGTGCCAGAAATACAAGTTACACCTTGAGAGAATGTGTCATGCCTCCATCCGAGCCGGAATCTGAGGAGGACATGGAGCTGGAGCAGGACCTTGTTGAGGCCCAGGAGGCAGTATCTGTGGCTTCGGAGAACTGTGGGGAAGAGCAGGCTGAGGCATAGTGAAATCAAGATGGCAGCCACAATTGCTGGATTAAAGCCCTTTTTTTGTTTATGTGCATCACATATACAACAACATATTTAAAAAGGCAGGGCTTGAATCACACAGCTGAAGCCTTCTTCTTAACTTCTGGATGCTCTCCTGTTCCCCCTTGCAGACATCTCTGAGAGGCAGATGGCAAATACTGTACTGTAAACACATTTAGCTGAAATACACCTTTTTCTGCTTCAAGTTTCTCTTCTGATGTGCATAAGAAATCCACGGAGCCCATGTTAGGCTTCAACAACACTAAAATGTAAGATGATCTCAAGCTGCTCACCGAAAGAGGTGTGATTAAGCAAAGCAACATGTTTTCTTGAAAAAGCAATCCATACTTACATCTTCATCCTCTTTAGAGAACTCAGAAGCATTTTGTTTGTTAAGTGCCATGAAAACTGCAAGAACTTCCTTGCATTGCATAATGGGAACAGTGAGCATATTGTTGGTTGTATAACCAGTTTGATTATCCACAAAGTCGGAGAAGTGATTATTCTGAAACAAACACGAAGTTAGTTTATTTTTCAAGTGTGACTCAGGATAATCCAGATGACATCGTTGCTGCTTGTCTCTAACACCCCTGAGAGATAAGTCACATTTGTCCCTTAACATGGAGAAGTGTATTGAGGGAATGGCACATTTATATGCAATAATGGCACCTGCAAGAGGGATATATGGAGGCCAGTGATAAAACACATGTTGTATTATTGCAACAGAAGCACTGTCATCTACATATTTGCATGTGGTATCGTGACCCAAGGATGAAAGGGATGATCTATTATGACAGCATGTTTTGTCATTTTTGCCTTATACCCTTATCAGTTCCACACCAATTGTTTTCAAATGTCTTCCAGATAACTTCACTTTGGATTTGAAAGCAAATAAATAAAAAAATCTAATTATCCAGGGATGCGCACCTAGTGCATTCTAACAATGTGTCTTCTTCTAAAATCACACTGCAGGTGTGTAAGGCAGTTGCTACATGATCCCTCTAGAACTGTAAGATATGTTTTTCTTTTTTGCCCCTTTTACAGAGTCATCTGAATGAGATTTATGTTTCCTATGATTAGTAGATATCCTGCACATATCTTTGCCTTCATTCCTGAGCAGATATCCTGGTCACCCAGATTCAGCCTATGCCCAAATGCAGCTCTTACGGTAGATGAGGTACCACTTGATACAGTGCATGTAACTAGGTCTTTTGTAGAAGCAGAGAAGATCCATCAAACCCTGATGGGCCAATATCCCACAATACATTCTTTGTAACCATAATTCATTTAAATTGTATATATTATTACTTTGTTGATATTAATAGTTTAAGATACTTTTACTTTGTTGTAATTTTAGAAGTTTTAGAAATAATTGAGCCACCTCAAGATCCCACCAGTTCCCTGACACTCACCCATCCCCAGCCTGATGACAAAGCCAGATCTTGAGGGATTTCTTGGAAATAAGGAGGAATGAAGCTGACCTCATTTCAGTGTTGAGAATGTTCCACAAGACAAGTACAACAGAGAAGGCCCGCCTCCCTGGGCCTGCCAAAAGACAGGCCTTGCAGCATACCTCTCTTGTTGGAGCTGATGGGACAAGCAGATGTAATTGGGGAGACGTAGTTCCTTAGATAATCTGGCCCCGTGCCATGATTAAAACCAGCACTTTGAATTGGACCCAGAAGTAGACTGACAATCAATGCAGTTTGTGGAGCAGAGGTATAGCGTGTTGTTTTAGCACACATAACTGCCCATGCCACTATATTTTGCGTCAGCTGAAGCTTCCAGATAATCTTCAAGGGCAGCCCTATGTAAAGCACATTACAATAATCCAATCAGGAGGTGACTAGGGCATTAGTAACTGTGAGCAGAGATCCCCGATCCAGAAATGGGTGTAATTGGTATGCAACACAAAGCTGTGCAAAGGCCTTTCTAGCCACAACTGCCACCTGTTCCTTAAGCAGGAGTCATGAATCTAGGAGGACCCAGATTACACACTGGGTCTGCAATACCTCATCCCATGGTGACAGTTTCACCCAATAGCTTCACAAAAATGTTGAATAAGAGCATATAGAGCAGCAAACTCATCCCACATAGTAGAGTCTTGAGCGGGATCTCTCTTCCCTGAACATCCTCAACTGGATCTCACAACACAGTGCCACCCAACCCCAATTCCCTGAGCTGATCCAAAAGGATGCTGTGGTCAATGGTATCAAAAGCTCCAGAGAGGTCAAATAGGGCAAGGATGTATGTATGATCCCCATCCTGCTTTCCCAAAGAGCATCTAAAACTGCAACCAATGCCATTTCCATTTTATTCCATTCCATCCCAGCTGAAAGGGATCCAGATAACCCACTTCATCCAAGTTCCTCTGAAATTTCTCCTCAACCACCTTCTCAGTCATCTTCCCCAGAAAGTAGAGATTAAATAATGGATGAAAATTGCCCAGTATAGCAGAACCCAGTGATGACTTCCAGAAGAGGGGTCAAAGCAAGGCCTTTTTAAGAGGTAAAGGAACAACCCTCATTCAAGTCAGAGTTCACAACTAGTGAGTCCACTCACATGACAAACCCCAGGCCACTTTCACAAGCCAGTAGGGGCATACATCTAAAGAGCAGGTACCTGTGCTCGCAGTTCTAAGGACCCTGTCCATTTCCTCAGACCCAAGGGGTTCAAAACAATCACAAATAAGAAGGCAAACCCATCCTCCCTAGATGTCTTCTCTGGAACTACAACAAGGCTGAAGCCCAACAAATTTAAGCCATTTTGTCCAAAACTGTAGATGCTGAATCAATTCTTCCATACATTTCTGCAAGATGTTCTCTGAGCCCTTTCTTCCCAAGATGGCATGTTCACCCTATACAAGGCCAGAGGATAGTAGTCCATGGAAGCAAAAAGGATGCAGAAGCATTGATGCTTTGCTACCTCAACATCACAAAGTAAGCCTTAATAGCAATCTAGCCCATATTTGGTCGAGTTCACCCTTTGTTGGGCACCATTGTTACTCTAGATGTCTCTTCTCATCTTTTCATCTCCCTCAACTCGTCCATGAACCATAGCAAGTGATGGGATCTGCAAGAGGGGACAAATTGCATGGGTGCAATCCAATCAAAAGCCTCATCAGCCCTCGTATTCCAGGTGGCAACCAAGGCCTCAGATGCAGCAACCAGCAGGAATCATCCCCAGCTCCCTCTGAAACCCATCTGGGTCGATCAGTCACAGGGGAAGACCAGTCTAGTGGGTCCAGCCTCCCTGCAGTGGAGCAGACATATCAAACTCGTGACATCACATGACGTCGCATGACGTAACGTGACATCGTGTGACATATTGGAACTTTTTCCCCATTGCTGGCAATAGGGTGGGCGCAGTTTCCTTTTCACTCGTGTGGCCCACGGGCCGGCAGTTTGACACCCCTGCTCTAGAGAATCCAATGCTAATCAGGGTGTGATCTGACCATGAGAAGGGAGACATCAAGAACCCCCCCCCCACTTCAGATCATATAACCATTGCTCCAACAGGAATATCTGTCAGATCATCAGATTGTGGATGATCTGGAATACCTCATGGCACCAAGATAGCCATGAACTCCCAATCTATCTCAGATCCCAGGCCTAGAGCAGACAGATAGGGAATTCCATCACCAACCCAGAAATGAAATCAAGGTACTCAGGCAGGGAGGTTGCCATGCAGCAGAAAGGCTAGAACAACAGCAACAATCCCAACGGATCCCTAAGCTCAACTTAATGGACAGGGTCTCATATCCAGTCAACTGTGGAAAAAGCACCCTGAAAGCCATAAGGGATTCCCACATGACAATTCTGCCATACCTCACCCACTTTGAAGGGGAGTTATTGCTTCCCTGAGAAACAAGAAGTGGAAATAATGCTGTTATTATGAGAACACTCTCTTTCCTATTTCCAGGAAGATTCACTTACTTCAGGAGAATAACCAACTTCTTATAGCAAAGCTTTCGGTGAAGCTCAGAAAACCTCACCAAATAGCTATTTTTAAATCCTAAACCAGAAGAAATTATTAAATGATGATTTAGCCTTAGTGAAGTTGTAGTTTACACATTGAGGCCCCTATTACAGGAGGCTAAAAAGCAGTAATACTAAAAGGAGCTTCAATTGTGCAGTTATGGCCACAATCTTGCTTTTTTTATATACACTTTCCACTCCTTCCAAGGGTCGAGGGAAGGAATTTTGTTTTGAAATTCAATTAATTAGGCCAGGATAGATAGTATGAAAAACCATTAAGATGTACCTGCTTAAATATAAAGGATTATTCTGAGTTTAACATACAGTATGAGATCTGCTTTGGAAAGTTCTAGAATTTTCTGGGTTGCTATCACCAATTTGTTATGCAGATTTGTACAGTCCAATTCCTGTAATTCATGCAGTAAAACTGGAGTTGCTGCAAATTTAATCTTCTTTTGTTAAGAAAGGGGATTTCTTATGAGATTTCAATATTGGTTTTATTAAAAAGGGGTTGTTAAGTGTAATGCTTGCTGTTCTCCTCCTGATAGGATTACCATACCTGGTCTGTAAAAATCCACATGGCCACTAAGAGATATAGAAAACTGATATGAATAAAATTTTGGAGTCTACGCATGGTCTCCCACACTAGGAAATTTTCAAATCAATGTGCAATGTCAGTATCTTACATACTATAAAAGTAGAGAGTAGGAGATACAGTTCAGTTATTTCTGGATTTCCAAGTTGAGCACATGGGAAGAAACCAAACAAACACACAGGAGGAACTCCCGCATCCACAGCTTAGTTGATTTTGGAGAAGAATGGCTTTATCGCTGGAGAGCTTCCTAAAATGGTTTTGTGTTAGTTGTAAAAGTTTAATATTACTGTTTGTCTGGCTAATTTCACATTAAATAAACTATTGTTTATTATCTCCTGCTCAAATAAGATGCTGCATTCTAATCATCCAGAAAGAGCATACTTTTTTCACAACACACACACACACACACACACACACAGTGGGGGAGACAGGGCAGTGATGATAGAAGAAGTGTTGACAGCAAAATCAGGAAGGAGTATGAGAAGCTGGAGGAGTACCATGGCCTGAAAGAGGCACTAAAGAGGATGTGGAAAGTAAAAACCAAAGTGGTCCCAATAGTGATAGGAGCACTTGGGGCTGAGGCTCCTAAGCTGAGATAGTACCTCCAACAGATCCCAGGAACAGTATCAGAACAACGTGTCCAGAAGACCGCAGCGCTAGAAATAGCTAACATACTGCACAGAACTCTCAAACTCCCAGGCCTCTGGTAGAGGATTTGAGATTGAGGACGATACATGCCACCTACAGAGATTACGCAAGCAGAGATTACCTTGTTTCCCTCCAATGATTAATCGGAAGACACAGAGAATATCATCCAATCAATGTTTTGCTCCAAATTACCACTGGTTTTAGAGTATGTTCACTCACCCTACTCCCAGAAAAAGTGAGGATGGAGTTAAATTTCTGGTGTCCCTGCCGTATTTTTTAATAGTT